GCTTAACTTTAGCTTAGCTTTACCTGAGCTGTAGCTTAGCTTTAGCTTAGCTGTAGCTTAGCTTTCGCTTAGATTTAGCTTAGCTTTAGCTTAGCTTTAGCTCAGCATTAGCTTAGCTGTAGCTTAGCTTTAGCTTAGCTTTAGCTTAGCTTCAGCTTAGCTTCAGCTTAGCCTTCAGTTTAGCTTCAGCTTAGCTTCAGCTTAGCTTCAGCTTAGCTTTAGCTTGCTTAGCTTATCTTTAGGTTAGCTTTACCTTAGCTTTACCTTAGCTTTACTTTAGCTTTAGCTTAGACTTAGCTTAGCTTTAGCTTAGCTTTAGCTTAGCTTCAGTTTAGCTTCAGCTTAGTTTTAGCTTAGCTTTACTGTTACTGCTGATGATGCTTTCCTAGGGGTTCCAAAGCCTAGGTAGGGTCGCACTGGGATAATGAACATTTGTCGCATCCTCACCTTTGGGCCTCCGTCAGCTCAAGACGGCCTAAGGAACCTCCAGAATCGTCCAAAGCAGACTACGACGACGACGACGACGACCACGACGACGACGACGACCACGACGACGACGACGACGACGACGACGACGACGACGACGACGACGAAGTCGACGTCGACGTCGACGACGACGACGACGACGACGACGACGACGACGACGACGACGACGGCGAGGACGACGACGACCCCCACGAGGGTCCAAAGACCGCCCCAGAAGACCCCACGAAGGCCCAAGACCATCTGTGACAGACTGCTCCCCGTTCGCTTGGGCCCCCGGCCGACCTCCGGCATGGTGGCCTCCGCGCTGGCGAGCCACGCGGCAGCCTCGGGGCAAGAACCCCGGATGGCCTCCGCGAGCGCCTCGGGGCGGGGTACAGCCGGACTTGATTGAACAGGACACCCGAGAGGACACAGGCCTCTTCCGACGACGACGGCGAGGACGACGACGACGCCGACGCCGACGCCAACGCCGATGCCGCCGCCGCCGCCGCATCCTCACCTTTCAGGGCCTCCGTCAGCTCACGACGGCCCAAGGAGCCTCCAAGATTGTCCAAAGAAAAGGACGACAACGGCGACGGCATTGCCATCGACGACGACGACGACCACCACGACGACGACGGCGACGACGACGACGGACGGACGGCAACATGGCCAAAGGACATGCGGCTTGTATAGGTCGGGATAGACATTGCACAAGGGCGCCGCCCCTGCGCCCTCGCGCCCAGTTGCCGCTCCGCCGCTCGCCCCGCCTCGCCCGAGCCGCGCGGCGGCGCCGGGTCTCCGTTCCCAGTCGGCCCAGACGCAGCCGCCGGGCTCTGCATTGTCGCCCCTGCAGCGAGCGCCCCTCGAGCGCGGCCCTCAACTGCTTGTCGTCGCTTCCATCGCGCATGTCAGGGGCGCGCTGAAGGGGCGCCGTGCGCGGGCGCATTCAGGGAAGCATTGGGGGCGCATGAAGGGAGACTTTCTGGGGCACACTACTGGTCGCAAAAAAGGACAAACAGAGAGGCACATTAAGAGCCGCATTGAGGGGCACATCAAGGGGGACATCAAGGAGCACGTTAAGGCGCGAGGACACCTCCTTCGACTCTCCAATCTGGCCATGCTCTCACCGCGCCACGGGTCCTTGACCATCGTCTCTCTGCCCGGTTCACTCACGCCCCTTGCCGCCCCCTCGCTCGCAAGCGACGGACGCCGAAACGTCGCGCGGAACCAAGAACCGCCGCATTGTCCAGAACGCGCACAGATCTCGACATGCCATCGCCGCAGCTTCGGCGAACAGGGTTGAGGCCGCGCGCGGGGCGCCGAACAGTGGCAACGAGACGCCCTCCTTCTCCTCCTCCTCCTCCTCCTCCTCCTCCTCCTCCTCCTCTCCTCCTCCTCCTCCTCCTCCTCCTCCTCTCCTCCTCCTCCTCTTCCTCCTCCTCCTCCTCCTCCCTCCTCCTCTCCTCCTCCTCCTCCTCCTCCTCCTCCTCCTCCTCCTCCTCCTCCTCCTCCTCCTCCTCCTCCTCCTCTCCTCCTCCTCCTCCTCCTCCTCTCCTCCTCCTCCTCCTCCTCCTCCTCCCCCTCCTCTCCTCCCTCCTCCCTCCTCCTCTCCTCCCCTCCTCCCTCCCCTCCTCCTCTTCCTCCTCCTCCCCTCCGCCTCCCCCTCCTCCTCCTCCTCCTCCTCCTCCCTCCTCCTCCTCCCTCCTCCGCCTCCCCTCCTCCTCCTCCTCTCCTCCTCCTCCTCCTCCCCCCTCCTCCTCTTCCTCCCTCCTCCTCCTCCTCCTCCTCCTCCGCCTGCCTCCCCCTCATCTTCCTCCCCCCTTCTCCCCCCCTCCCTCCCCGCTCCTTCCCCCCCTGGGAGGGAGAGAAGCACTGCCTGACGTCAAGGATGAATGACAACGGAAGGGGGGAGCAGGAGGAGGAGGAGGAAGAGGAGGGAGGAGGAGGAGGAGGAGGAGGAGGAGGAGGAGGAGGAGGAGGAGGAGGAGGAGGAGGAGCAGGGAGGAGGAAGGAGGGCCACCCCTTCCTCTGC